CTGGATTTACCTGGTTGAGCTATAGGATAACATCACCCCGGAGAACCATCCGGAGACCATCTTGTTAAATTGAGTAAAAAAAATTATTAATTATCATTAATGTTTTATTGTTTTTATCTGTTTTATATGGTTTTTTCCCCTTGTAAGCCACCCTGAGCCCGCTTTGCGGGGTGGGCGGGGTATAAATCTTAATAAATAAGTAAATAAATAATAAATAATCTGGGAGAAGCGGGTTTGAGTCCCCACTCCTCCACGTGCAGCTGCTGTCGTGACCTTGGGTCAGTCACAAGTTCTCTCAGAGCTGTTCTCTCAAGCGCAGTCCTCGAAAGAGCTCTCTCAGCCCCGCCTACCTCAGGGGGTGTCTGTTGTGAGGAGGGGAAGGGAGAGGAGATTTTAAGATGCTCTGAGACTCCTTTGGGTAGTGGACAAGGTATAAAACCAGCTCGTCTTTTTCTCTTCTTCGACGGTTAAGACTCACTGGAAAAGACAGTGGAATCTTCCAAACAGCCCTAATGTTCCAGTTTTATTTCTTTTTGTTACCGTCCTCCTCCCCATTTCCACACGGCCCTTGCTGTCCCGGTTTTTCTACTCCCCCTCCCCCAATTCTTTCTGAACCATATTTTCTATACTTTTTTTCTTCTGAAACAGCTTGATTTTGGGCCTCTAGCATTCTGAAATGCGGCCAGGGCTCTTTTTGTAGAAAAAGCCCAGCAGGAACTCATTAGCATAATAGGCCACACCCAACAGCAGAAACTCATTAGCATATTAGACCACACCCCGACGGCACAGCTCATTAGCACATTAGGCCGCACCCCCATGTTACCAGAAGTGTGGTTAGCCAGCCACACCCACCTTTTGCTTCTTATTCTGTTTACCTTGTTTGTTGTCAAAACCTTTTCTTGTAGCAGGAACTCCTTTGCATGTTAGGCCACACACGCCTACTGTAGCCAATCCTAATGAGTTTCTGCTGTTGGGTGTGGCCTGTTATGCTAATGAGTTCCTGCTGGGCGTGGCCAACTTGGGAGCCAGCCGGAACTCCGTTCCTGTGCGTTCCTGCCCAAAACTATCCCTGGAAATGCCTAATATGTTTTACAGTGCTTCCCACCTTGTCATTTTGGGTGGCGTGGGCAGCGATTCTTTTGATTTTAATTTTTTTATTTATTTTTATTTATTTGAATCTTTACCCCGCCCTCCCAGCCAGAGCCGGCTCAGTGCGGGCTTACATAAGACAGATAATTACATGGAAAACATAAATGACTATTAAAACAATTCTAAAACCATAATAAAGTATTAGTAATCGTTGGTAATCGTCGTTGTCCATAAACAGTAGCAGCTATCGTTCAGAGTTCTCCACTCACAGTCAGCTCACAGTGTTCGTTTTGGTTGTTCCTGCAGAACTTGCTGTTAGCCTGAGCAGTGGGTGTTGCCTTCTGACACACTTCCAGTGACGTCAGGGTGTGTGGCATATGCAAATAAGTTATGCTAATGAGCTATGCTAATGAGCTCCGGCACCTCTTTTTCTACGAAATGACCCCTGGTTAGCATTATTCAGTTCAGTCAGTATTGTTGATGTTGTTGATGTTATTAGTGACGGCTCCTAGTCGAAGGCCTGGTGGAGTAGCTCCGTTTTACAGGCCCTGCGGAACTGTAAAAGGTCCCGCAGGGCCCTGATCTCCTCCGGGAGCTCATTCCACCAGGTTGGGTCCGCCACCGAGAAAGGCCTGGTCCTGGTCGCCGACAACCTAGCCTCCTTAAGACCCAGGGGGGCCAGCCAGTTCTGAGCCCCTGACTGCAGTGCTCTCTGGGGGACATATGGGGAAAGGCGGTCCCTCAGGTATGTAGGGATCTGGTGTTAGACCATGTATGTGCTGAATAAACCCCAGGGCCAGTCAGAAGTCCCAGAACAAGCAGCCAATCGTCGTCTTGCTCCCTCAAGGCATTCCCTAGCGGACGTTTGAGCACCATGCCTGGGCAGCATTTTCAAATTCTCTGTGTGGTGCTGCTGGAAGATCCAAGGCAGCAACAAGACAGCTGGCATCCAGACAGCCCCTGTCGGGCAGGCAAGCCGAGGTGGCGCCAAAGGAGCTGGCAGCCCGACGAGCCCTGGGTGGGTGAGCCGAGACTGCAGCCCCAATCTCTGCTGGCCGAAAGAGGTGCTTGCCCAGCGTCCAGTCCCGTCCCCCCCACACTATCTGTGAAGAAAATTATTGTACAGTAATAATGAATGGAGCACAAACAGCAAAATCATTTACTGGTACTTCTTCGCCCAAAGAGTAATCAGCACATGGAATTCACTGCCACAAGAAGCGGTGGCGATTACAAGTACAGGCAGCTTCAAGAGGGCATTGGCCCACCAGTGGCTATTAGCCGCAAGATATAGGTGGAACCAGTGTTCCCTCTAAGCTGAGTGAGTGTGAGCTAGCCCGCCGATTTTTAGCCTCCAGCTCACGCATTTTTGTCTTAACTCGGGAAGGATGGCTACAGAGCCAGCTAATTTATGCAGCCGACAAATCGCTCGCTCACCACTTTAATGCCAGTATCTCAGAAAGGTGAATTTTTGCTCACAAGACCCCACAGCTTAGAGGGAGCATTGGTGGAACACTCTGCCTGGGGCAGTGATGCTCTGTATTCTTGATGCTTGAGGGGCAGCAGTGGGAGGTCTTCTGGAGTTCTGGCCCCGATGGTGGACCTCCCGAGGGCACCTGGGGTTTGGCCACCGTGTGACACAGAGAGATGGATGGATGGGCCATTGGCCTGGCCCAGCATGGCTTCTCTTATGTTCTTATGGAGATCCAAACAGGACCAGTGTAAGGGTGCTCTGAAGAGCCTCGACAGTAACCTTCCAAAGCAGTGTTCACTTAGCCCTGTAATTGGCCATCATCATAGCTATGCTGAATTCTTTCGTTACTGCCCCTAGTTCAAAAAGGAGGAGGAGGAGGAGGACGACGGGCAGCACAGCCAATAAAAACAATTATTTATTTATTTATTACTTTCAATTTATATCCCACCTATGCCGGGGCAAACTGGCTCACAACCAGTCTTACACAGGAAATCAACTAACTAATCAGAAGGGCAGACAGGTAGGCAAGCTATGATCCACCAGCGGGCTTTGGGGATGGTAACTGGAAAAGCCAATGGGGACAAATGGGGGATTAAATTGCCCCATCACTCTAGCGCAACAGCACAAGTGCAAAAAAAACAACAACCCAACAACTATGGAAAACTTGAACAGCCTGTAAGAAGTAAGCAGGACACACACGCAGGCGGGTGCCACATAAAAACAGGCAGTGTGAACGATCACCCCCAATGGCACCATGATCCGAGGTGCTTTGGAGACAGGGGAAAAAGCAAATCAGGGCTACAGTCCGGAAGATGCCAATAATGCTAGTAAAAAATGAAGGCGTCAGGAAAAGAGGAAGACCCAGCTCGAGGTGGATTGGCTCCATAGAAGAAACCACGGCTCTTAAGTTTGCAAGACCTGAGCAGGGCCATTAACAATAGAGGGTCATTAATTCACAGGACCGCCATAAGTCGGAAGCAACCGTACGGCACGTAAGACACACGTCGAAAGGTTCGGTGCCGTTTTCCTCTTTTGCTCGACTTCACTATCAAGTCATTCCTCGCTACTGGCCCGCGCACACCCCCCCCCCCCCCCAAAGTGTTGTTCCGGCAGTAAGATTTCGTGACAAACGTTAGGAAATAACTTTGGGCTACAGTTTGCTTTAATACTCGGTACGGAACGGTATTTCCCATCGGGCTGTGCCCATTCTCACCGGAGTTCACTGCAGGATTCCAGGGCTTCTTCCAGAGCGGTGTCAGAAATTAAAGCCGGGGAAGGAAAGGCTTTAAGGCTTGAGAAGAGCCGAGTATAATTGCCATGGGAAAGGAGACAGAAATGAAATTTATTCTTTTTTTGACCAAATCCTGCTTGGGGGGGGATTGGGGGAGGGCTCGAATTTTATCTCATTCCCAGTTTCTGTAAAAGGCTCGATGAAATAGGGGTGGAGCGCGCAATGCTCACCGAAAACATTTTGGCAACCGCAGCAGGAAATCCAGACTCTCGTGCTGCGATCAATAATCTCCTGCTTTTGCGTGGTGCCGAAATTCACTTTGTGAATGGCAGAGCCACCCAGGGGAGCTAGAAAGAGCCCAACACGAAAGGAGCTGGGCAGGGCCGGGTACATTTGGGGACCGGAAGGATTAATGAATCCAAAGAGATGGCTGTTAAACTTTTTTTTTTTAAGTTGCAGGCAGCCGCACTGGCCCACAGGAAATCTAGAACAGGGGTGGCCAAACAGCATCTCAGGAGCCACCTGTGGTTCTTTCAAACAGTATAATTTAATGGAGACCCAGTTTGGTGTCGTGGTCAAGTGCCAGTTTGGTGTAGTGGTTAAGTGCGCGGACTCTAATCTGGGAGAACCGGGTTTGATTCCCCACTCCTCCACTTGCACCTGGCTGGATGACCTTGGGCAAGCCATAGTTCTGATAAGACTTCTTCTTGAAAAAGAGCAGTTTCTGTCAAGAGCTCTCTCAGCCCCACCTACCTCACAGGGTGTCTGTTGTGGGGAGGGGGAGGGAAAGGAGTTTGTAAGCTGCTCTGAGACACCTTTGAGTAGTGAAGGGCAGGGTATAAATCCAATCTCCTCTTCTTCTTCTTAATAAAAAGCAAATTTGCATATTTTTTCAATAAAAACTTGTGTGTAATATTTGTTCATGTCTTGTGGCTCTCAAAACATCTGATGGTTATTATGTGTGGCTGTTACGTGAAACAAGTTTTGCCACCCCTGATATAGAACAAAAAGAAAAAATCATTTCATACCTCTGACGTGGGCCAACCAAAATGACACAAAAGACAGTGCACTGCTTTTATTGTCGTCATTAAACTTAGTACAAAAGTCAGGTATGATTAATGTGGCGTTTGTTGTCTTTGCTAGTAATGAAAGTATAATGATGTCTGTATTGGTATTGCCTTAATTTTTTAATCCGACTTCCCTTCCTAGGTGGTATAAAGTGCCCCGTTTGCAACTTTGTGTATGGCACCAAATGGGAATTCAACAGACACCTCAAAAACAAACATGGACTCAAGCTGATGGAGCAGGACGGGCCGATGAAGTGGGAGGTAAAACTAGCCATCCCCGAAATCCAAAACGTCTGTTGAGCGAGGGAGGGAAAGGGAAAACCGGAATAAAACAAGAATTGCAGTGCGGAAATTGCCGCAGGGGCCTTGACTCAGTGGTAGAGCCTCCGCTCGGCATGCAGAAGGTCCCAGGTTGAATCCAGTTAAAAGTATCAGGCAGTAGGTGATGTGAAAGGCCTCGGCCTGGGACCCTTGAGATCCACTGCCAGCCTGAGCAGACAGTACTGACCTTGATGCAACAAGGGTCTGATTCGGGAGGATAAGGCAGGTTTGCATATGTTCATGTGTGTTCCATATGTGACAAAGATTTGTCCTGCCTTTTATACTACTGCCCAGGAAAACGAATCTCCCCTTCTGAGAGTCAGTTAGAGTTGTGGTTAAGTGTGTGGACTCTAATCTGGGAGAACCATGTGCCAGCACACTTCCTCAGACACACTGAAATGAAGTGTGCGGTACACACGAAAGCTCACGCCTCGAACAAAACTTTGTTGGTCATAAAGGTGCCACTAGATTCAAACGTTGTTCTGCTGCGTCAGACCAACCCGGCTGCCCACCTGAAAATAGCGGGGTTCGATCCCATACCTCCACATCTCAAGGAGAGGCGTTTTCTTATGACCGAAGGAGCCGCTGAGGGAGAAAAGTGCCCCTTCTAGCGGAACAGATCCACGGGCTCCAACCCACAGCGCTTTGCTTACGGTTATCATTCTGTAAACGTCTGGCAGCATTTGTGATGCTGCTGATTCGAAAACCATTTTCCCTCCCTTTAGATCACCAACTGGCCTGTTTTACAGCCCACCGTGGAAGTTTCTGAGGAGACGGCGACCCAGTATCTCCACATCACGGGAACAGAAGATGCGCCAGGGACTGAGGCGGCAGTGGCGGCACTGCAGAACCTGCAGTACACCTCAGAAAACGGTAAACTGTCATCCCAGGGAGAAAATAACAGTTTAGCGAAAGCGGCGTAGAGACGCCACGTTTCCAAACGTCCATTCATATTATCTTGGTGCCATAGTTAAGAGCGGCGGAGTCTAATCTGGAGGACCGGGTTTGATTTCCCCGCTCCTCCACAGGCATCCAGCTGGGTGACCTTGGGTCAGTCAAGGTTCCCTCAGAGCTCTCTCAGCCCCACCTGCCTCACAGGGTGCCTGTTGTGGGGAGAGGAAGTGAAGGGGATTGGAAGCCACTTTGGCACACATGAGGCCTGCTGGGTGAGCTTGGGCTAGTCACAGCTCTATCACAGCTTTTCTCTCAGGAGCAGTCCTCAAAAGACCTCTCTGAGCCCCACCTACCTCACAAGGTGTCTGTTGTGGGGAGGGGAAGGGAAAGGAGATGGTAAGCCGCTCTGAGACTCCTTCAGGTAGTGAAGGGCAGGATATAAATCCAATGTCCTCCTCCTCCTCCTCCTCCTCCTTATGACAGGCCTGTAAGGGCCGAGCGACACGATATGTCCAGCATTTGCTGAGTCACAGGTGCATGACCAGACTTGCAATCAGATGCACATTGGGGGCGTGCGCCTTAAAAAGGACTGTTCGCTCAGTGCTGCAAGAGAGCACTCGGGGGGGGGGGGCTTCTGGTTTCTCTCCTGACCCATTTTTACCAGCGGAAAGGGCAATGGGGCTACACCCATTTTCTCTGGCTCCACACTTCTGGGAGGCAAACTGGAAGCTGGTCCTCCCCACAGTCGGCCCCCCCTCACAGCTCCGAGCAAACGAGCACTTTTTAAGCCGAGTTCCCTCAATGGACGTCATGTTGTTCCACTCTGAGGGAGAACTATATTACTGTCCCCACCTTGTTGCCGATAGGACAGACCCTAAGACCACCCGATAAGCTCCTGGCCGCGATGAGATTTGGGCCAGGAGTTACGCTTTTGGTGCTACATCAGCACGATCAAGCGCCAGGAAGAGGGACTGTGCTATTTTCAGGTTTCTCTGTTCTGGAACAGCCAAAAAAATAGAGAGAGGAAATGCTTCAAGGTTTTGGTGTTGACCTTTGAGGCCTTGAGCAGTCAGGGACCAATGTATCTGTGGGACCATCTCCTCCGGTATGTTCCCGGGAAGGCGTGATGCTCGGATAGTGAACTGATGGTGATCCCTGGCCCCAAAGACAACCGGCTGTCCTCGACCAGGGCTAGGGCCTTTTCCAACCTGGTGGAACTCTCTGCTAAACAACACGAGGGCCCTGCAGGACGATTCCGCGGGGCCTCTAAGGCAGAGATGTTCCGTCAGGCCTTTGGCTGAGGGCAGCAACGACTTCCATCTTGGCTGGCACCCCCCTCCTACGCTCTTTCCGTCAGATAGTTTTATTCCTCCTCCCCATACCCACGAGGTGGTCACACTCCGGACTTGGGAAGAAACTATACTTTTGCCACTTGATCTTTTCAGAGCCCGTTTGGTGTCGTGATTAGGAGCGCGGACTCTAATCTGGGAGAACCGGGTTTGATTCCCCACTCCTCCACATGCAGCTGCTGGTGTGACCTTGGGTCAGTCACAAGTTCTTTCAGAGCTGTTCTCGAAAGAGCTCTCTCAGCCCCACCCACCTCACAGGGTGCCTGTTGTGGGAAAGGGAAGGGAAAGGAGATTGTAAACTGCTCTGAGACTCCTTCAGGTAGTGAAGGGCGGGGTATAACTCCAATCTCTTCTTCTGGATTGCTGGATTAGCATTATGTATGTACTTATGTTAGAGTTTTAATGTCTTTACTATGTGTCGTATATCGCCCAGAGCCCTGCAGTAGCGGGGATTGGGCGATTCATAAGTTTAATAAATAATGAAATAATAATGATTATTGGCTGTTACCTGGTATCTTACCTGCTTCAGGCTTTAACTCCCAAATCCTTAGCTTTAAAGAGGCAGCTAGAAAGAAGGCACAAAGTTGATAGTTTTCTGATGTAATGCTGAAAAGGAACGTGGCCCCAAGGGCTGTGTGGGTCAGTGCAAGCCCACACTCACGGGCCCATTCTGGAAACAGCCTGCATGGCCCCCTTGCATAAGTCGATTCTGTCACACCGGAAGCGTGGTAAGAAGATGGGTACCTGGACTCTTGCTGCTGCTTTGGAATAACAAAAGCCAATGCTGGCTCTTTATTGCAGGCCGTGGGACACAGCTACGCACAGGGCTATTTTTGGGCAGGAACGCACAGGAACGGAGTTCCGACTGGCTCCCGAGTTGGCCACGCCCAGCAGGAACTCATTAGCATAATAGGCCACACCCAACAGCAGAAACACATTAGGATTGGCTACATAGGGGTGTGGCCTAACATGCAAAGGAGCTCCTGCTACTGAAAAAAGCCCTGGGTTTTGACAACAAACAAGGTAAACAGAATAAGAAGCAAAAGGTTGGTGTGGCTGGATGAGCACGCTTCTGGTAACATGGGGGTGCGGCCTAATATGCTAATGAGCTATGCTCTCATGGGTGTGGCTGGATATGCTAATGAGTTTCTGTTGTTGGGTGTGGCTTATTTTGCTAATGAGTTCCTGCTGGGCTTTTTCTACAAAAAGAGCCCTACGCACATGGATTTGTGCGCTGATTGGACCGTGATGCTCAGTCTGGGAAATGTACTGTTCTCTGAGGGGTTCCTTTTGCTTCAGAAACAAAGGGAGGGGGAATCCTTGCCAGCTCACATTCAGATATTTTTTGTGTATACGTGTGTGATTGTTAGCAACTGTCTGTAGCTCCTGGCTTCACTTATTTCTTTTGGAAGAGGAGGGGAGAAGTTTTCTGTTGATCCCCCCCCCCCGCTTTTCCCGTGCGTTCTTCGTAAGGGTCTGCTGATCCCCAGGAGCAAAAAAAAAAAAATGGGGAGGGGGCAGGAGTCATTTCCTGCAGGAGCGCACAGGAGCGGAGCTCCGGCAGTAAAGAGCCCAGAGGATGGGCACATGCAACAAGCCCCACCCCCT